TCAGCATGTTTTTTGCATTCGCTGTCACCGAGAATACAAGCCCATCTTAGAGCTTCTTGTCTTAAACATTTAATAAACATGTCATCATTAGATTCCTCCTCGTATCCAATTTTTTGAAGAAGTGAATCCAGTTGCATTCGTAGTTTCATCTAAATATTATGAAATAGAATAAAGATAACATTAATTCGATATTAATTCAAAAAATTTTAAACTGAATTTCTTGTAGAAATGTAAAAAATTTTATTTTTCTAAATTAGTTACATCATATTTTTTAGAGGAAGAATTTAGATAATTATTAAAAGTAAATTAATATTAATATTTGGAACATAACATGAGTTGTCAGAATTTTCTTTACTGAAATAGGTTTTACCTTAAAGTTTATACTTTCGGTATTATAATAAGGTAGAATGTGTGACATGTACTCAGCAGCTTTGTACATAGAATACCATGGTATATAGTCCGTTTCCCACTTTAGATAGCTTACGACATCCCAAAATATATAAAAATTTAATTTGCCTGATATCGCTAAATGGAATGTATCATCGATGATTTGAGCACGATTTAAAACATTAATATTTGTATAATTCTTGGAATTAAGATAATTTATAATTCTTAACCAACTTTCGAAATCATAATATACCCGGTAATATCCTGTCATGCGAAATAAATAATTACGATTTGTCATTAATTTAAATTAAATTATAATGTAATTGATATTAATTACAGATAGAATATTATTAAATGTTATTTTTATTTTTAAATATGACCAAAAATACAAATTAAAATATTAATTAATAATTTAACTTGTATTATAAATAATAAAAAAATTCATATTTACAAACTAATGTAATATTGAATTTTATGTTACGGATCATTAAGTTGACCGCTTCTTTACAACAATATATATAATAAATTATATATAATAAACAATATAATAAATATGAAACTTTTGTTTATAAATATTGTTTATAAATATCAGAAGAGAATAATATCAAAGTATTTCATCAAATATATAAATATGATTATTAAATTAATGTAATTTGTTTAAGAAAAGAATAAGAATTGTAGGTGGATTAAAATCACTAAAAGGAGCACAGACAATTCTAAATTATTTAGCTATATAATCTTAAAGTTATATAAATATATATATATATATATATATATGTATATCCTGTTTAAAAACTTTGTTACAAAAATAAGTCAATAAATTTTTCTTTTTTCTAGTTAATAAGTTTTCAAAATAAATAAATTAATGATATTTTACATTTAAATATTTGATCGTTATTTACCTGTTTGTTGCCGATTGATTATTATGAACCGACTGTGTTCAGAATTGTAACACTTTGTAAGAAAGTGCTTTTGTTCCCAGGATAAACAAAATGTGGGTAAAATTCGTTTTAAATTTATGTACACTTGATGTGTTAACGGTACCGTCCAGTTTTCGGAAGCAGTTTCTAGAACAATTTTCGTCCATTCGGAATCAAAGATTTCCGCTACATTAAGAATAGGATATTGCTTTTCTTGTATCCAAGGATTCATCAGGTCTTTCACATTAATTTTCTCCAAATCCGTAGTTTGTAAATCATACACAGATTGTATTTCAGTCCAAAAATCGTCCAGACATCCCGTCCTTACAAAAACGTATAGAAATTAGTTCTATTCATTATGTATATTCTGTGATAGAGATATTATCAGCAAATATAATTTTCTCTTATATAGCATAAAGACAAATTTACACAATTTTTATAATAGTCGAAAAAAAGACACAAATTCACGTCATTCACTCAGTTCAGTTATCAATGTGTGAGACAGATGCCCGTGATTTTATTTGCGCAAAACTGCAATATTAAGTTGTAAAGTCTCGACATCGACTGCACCGATTGGATTTTAATTGAGATTATTGAATAATAGATAAAGTTTATAAAAATATTTATCAACTTTTTCCATTATTATCTACAAACGAAAATACATATAAAGATATATTCAAAATATAATTATATTAAATTTTAATGCTGATTAAGTCATTCATTCCATATGACAAATTTTTGGATACAAAATTTTCTTTTTATTTTAACACATGTTATTTAAATTTTTTCTTATTTCGAGAAGTAACACAGTACCACAGTATTTGAGAAAATTTTATATGTAGTAACATTATACGATACAAAAATAGCATAGAATATAGTAAATTATTATTTACATATAAACTTACATCATGTAACAAAGAAATAAAAATGAAAAATTACTTTTTGACATAAAGAAAAAGAGAGAAAAGGTATGACATGAAAATACTTACTTTCTTTTCATATACATATTAATCCCTTTCTGAAAAATTTCATCACCCACTGTATGGTGTAGCATACGCAATATAGAAGGTGCTACAACAGATGAGCGTTATAAGTTCAAACATGCAAGAAATTATATGTACAATAAATTTATAGAAATTCTTAGAGACATTGGTAAGACTACAATTACTTAAAAATTTCGATGTTGCTAGAATATATTTGTCTTAGAATATGTCATTACTTATTTCAGTGTATAAAAAAATATGTAAATTAAAATATGTAAAGTAAAAATTTATTTTTGATATAGATTTTTAAATAAATAAATTTTAAATAAATTTTATAATTTTAAATAAATTTTACATGTTTTAATTGTTTCAACTTTATTTATTCAGTACTCTATACCTTTTATGTAATAGGTGAATGAGAAGAGAGAATTAATTTTAGACATATTGTCAATTTTTGAATCAAGAGGATTCATAACTTGTGAATCATCTAGACGAAGAGATTCTTGTTGAGTCTGGACTACGAATAAATCCAATATCCGACTCTCAGGCATAATCTAGACATTACAGGTATAGTCAAATAATTAATAATTTAATTGTTAGTTTATTATCATTAATCTAATAACCCTTAACAAAATAATTTATTTTTAAATTAATAAATTAATAAATTAATAAAAATTTTATAAACGATTTCACATGAATGCGACAAAATTCTTTTCGTTCAACTTAAATATCATTGAAAATATTGAGAGAATATTCTTTCTCTCCTCGTGTGTTTTTAAATAAAACTTATATTCAGTTTTCTTTGAAAGTATTATCACACACATGAAAAAATACCTGATTGATTGTATACACGCCAAACAACGTAGCAATACCCTCGTTCAGCCACATGCAAGACCACCATGATGGACTAACCGCGATACCAAACAATTGGCCAACCACTTTACGTCCTATTATACGTGATAACTCTATTTTGCGTGCAATGGGATCTATTTCTTCATTGTAAATAATATCTTCTTCTCTAAACACAACATACAAATGATTCGTTATATATAAATATTCACAATATATGCTATTTTTTAATACTGGTAGCATACTATATAGTATTTACTACGTTTCTTTATTCTACAATTGTTTTATTATAAAAGTATAAAAATTAATTCTTTAAAAACATATTCTACCTGTAAAGTACGAACGCCGATTTATCCACGCCATCATCTGTCAAACCTGCGATCGCAAATTGGTTTCTTAATAAATCTCCTTCCTGTAGTTGCCATGTATGTTCAACAGTACGTATGACATCTTCAATTAATCTCAAAATTTGATCCCATTGTACTTCCATCAACTCTCTTCTCCATAATTTGAAGTTTTGTATGGGAGAAATATCAGTATAGTCATGCTTATCAAATATCACAATTCCTATTCGGTACGTGGGTATTTCAGAAGTTACGATATAGTGTATCGTCAAAGGCGGTTTTGACATAGATGCAAAAGGAAAGAATTTGAAAAAACATTATAATATTCAGGAACCTTTACAACAATGACAAATTCAGCTTTTAATCCGGGTTCGTCCCAACATGGAAAGAGTCGTCGCATTCCTATCGCTGAGTTATTTGTTACGAACAGCCATCTAACGCATTCAATTAATTTTGTTAATTGTGTAATAAGACAATTTTTTATTTTCAATAACATTTAAATTAATTTATTACAGGAACGGGGCAAAGAGCGAATATATTTTAATAGAAATATTTTTGCAGTTTTTATGTTTTATTAGTGCAAGACCTTCCTCTTTACTACTTTTTTCCAATTCAACATATTTATGTTATTATGCATAGATATATATACAAATTATAAATAAATGTTAAAAGATTCGTATTAAAAATTCTATTTTATATACGCGGATAATATTTATAAAGAATTTATTTAATAAAACACCTTTAAGAAAGAAATAATAACACTTTATACGTTATTATTTTTATAACTTTTTGCAAAGTGTTTACTTTAGCTAACTATATATTTTGCAACAAAACTAAAGCTTTTTCTATAACTCTATAAATATTATAACATTAACAGAGTTATAACATATTATATTTAATGAACTTTATTAGACCTATACCATTGTGAATCGTTAATTTTCACTAGTTCAGAGACTCTTTTTAATTTTTATTATATAATATTTATCAGTATTTAATAGATATATATAGTAGACTCATTGTAGACATTATTACATAATATTTTTAATGTGATGTGTACGTTTTCTTACTCACTTTTTTTCTCCTATCTTATTTAAATATGAGACCTTGACAAAACCTCCATCATTAGCAATAACACCTTTATACGTTATGCTCAAAGTATAATTACCAGGACGTAGAACTTCAGGGAAATCCAAGACCACAATTTGCTGTTCGTGTATATACGAAATATCACGTGCTTTACCCACTATTAAATAACTATCAGTCTTTCCTGTTAATATGACTTCAGTTATTTCCAAATTTGCTGAATGCAGGCTTATATTTTGTGTAGCCTTAAGAATCATAATCATAATACGACATTCTCCATAGAAGATATCCTCTCCTGTCTCTAATGTTAGTTCAATATTGTATTTTTTTGGTTTTATAAAATCAGGCAAACGAGGATTGACAAGTCTAACACGTACGGTATGAGACATTTGGTATATGAAAAAGTGTGTAGCGTTGGATGTAATTTCCTTAGTGATTTTGGTTACTTCTGATCTTCTAGTTCTCGTTATTTTTGGTCCGTTTATTTGCTTGTTATTTATTTTAAATTTGTCAAATACATTTTCTTTGTGTTGATAAAGAGCCATAACGTAATTTAGTAAACTTCCATATAGTAACAATTTTATTAATTTGGTAATATTCATCTAAACAAATTTTTCATTTACAGAAATGTATTTTTTTATAAGAAACAAAAATATAAAAAAGTAAAATTATATCATCGAAATTTGACTTTTGCAAAAATTATGAAATCATAGTTAAAGATTTTTTTA